CACCACCACTTCAGAATCTCCTTCAATAATCAGCTTTCTAATTTGCATCTCCTTGGCTCTTCGAACCCCTTTAATGGCTGCAAGAATCTCAGCCCTCAAGGAATCCCCTTCCCCAATTGGTCCTGAAAACATAGCTAACAGATTTCCATGTTCATCTCTTATTGCTCCCCCTATTCCAGATGGACCTGGATTTCCCATACTTCTTCTATCAAAATTTAGTTTAAGAAAGCCATTAGATGGGGGACTCCAGCAAGAGAGTTATGTCTTCTTAGCTGAGGCTAATTCAGCAATTTCCTTCCAGTTTTTTACCGTCTCATCTACTGAGAAGTCTGCAAACAAGGCCAAAGTTTTCAGCCAATGTATCACCCTAACATGGATTACCTCCAATTTTACTTCCAAGGTTCTCTCCTTTTCTGAAAATATCCTTGAGTTCCTCTCCTCCCAAACAGTCCAGCATATACATTCATCTTGATTGGAAATTTAAATCTTGAAAATTTTACTCTATACCAGGTTGTAATTTGTAGAAAAGGGAATCTCTGTAGTGTGGTGTGGAATCTGTTGTTACATTACGGTGTACTTGTTTCAATGTTGTTCGCTTTGTGAACAGTTTGAGTTGATTAATGATTTTTTTGTTATTTATCAAAAAAAAAAGCTTGGATGTTTGAAGAAGTAGTTTAGCCGTATGATTTATGGAGTCACCAATTTGACTTCAACTTCAACATGAGAATGGAAAATTAGGACACAATTCTTTCTTTATATAAAATCAAGACATGATGATGAGTTAGAGTCACATAGTTACAAACAAGTGATTGACTGCAATGATTCCTTGACTTTTCAATCTCTCTCTCTCTCTCTCTCTCTCTCTCAAGTCTTTCAAGATAAAACAATAAAATTTCATGGCAAACATCTTAACTTATTAAAGATCGCTTAGAAAAATAGTCATGACCTCTCGGTTTTTGAGTGACATCTAGCCTGTCTTACCCCGCGCTATAAAATGTGGGGAAGTGATGACTAGTCACTTTGGCTGCTCTAGTCAAATGCCTAGGTGCTGATTAGTCAAAAGGAAAGATATGGTCTAAACTGTGCACAGCTTCTTGTTGTACACTTGTACATGAGAATATCTTTTTGTAAAGCAGGGCTGGGGGGTACAGGATTGCTTGGGCAGTGTTTTGTAGATCCCTGTGTACAGCTTCTTGTTGTACATTTTTTTGTTCTCTTTTGTCTCTTTTAATGACATTATATTTTACCCGTTTCAAAAAAAAAAAAAAAAAGATATGGTCTGAACTTAAGCGCTCCCCTGTTGTCTGGGCACCTTGGCGCCTTGAAAACTATGCATTTTATGCAGTTCTCTACTAGGTATTACAGAAGGAATTTATAGTGGTAACAATTGTTCTACTTTGTTGTGGTCATTCCTGAACATTTTGAGAGAAAAGGGTAAAGTGTTGCATTAATCAAAACTCAGAACATTGAAAAGTTTTAATGTATTAGTGTTGAGTGTAATAAAAACTCAAAAAATGTACAAAGCCTTGCTCAATAAGGCACTATGGTCATTCCTGAACATGGAGATCCCACTTTCACTAACCTTGCCATTAAACAATAGATAGAATACACAAGAACTTAATAGTCAGCATGAGAGGACAACTATTTGATAGTCTTTGATACAAGTGATTGTCATCTTATTTTTATACAAGACATACCAATTAAGCTCAACCTTTTTTTTAATCAGTAACAGTCAAAACTTTATTAACAAATAAATATACAGAAGATACAGATTCACAACATAAGGGATGTAGATCGCCAGCTTTGTTTGCTACTCTCTTGGGAATCAACTATCAAGGAACTTCAGGAACCATGGGATTTCAAAAAATCACAAGGGGATTGACTGTTTTAGTATTTTCAGGGATACTAGGCTGTTAATACTTGAATAGAGCCGAGTTGGTACTTTTATGGGGACCAAGTTGAAATATGCCATGAGTTATGATCAAGAGAAAGAAATAGGAAAAGAAAATTAAGGAAAAAAAGAAAAAAAGAAAAAAAGAAAAAAAAGGAAAAGAAAGAAAAAGAAAGCAAAAAAGAGAGAGAGAGAATGGACAATTTAAAAATTGCTTCTTGGAATGTTAGGGGTTTAAACTCAGGGCGGCGAAGGGTGGTAGCAGGGGGCTTTTTGAAAGAAGTGGAAGCCTTCAGTCTTGTGTATTCAGGAAACAAAGATGGAGGCGATGTCCAATGAGGTGGTACGATCTTTGTGGGGCAATCTGGACTGTGAGTGGAAGGCAATTCCTGCAGTGGGCACAACTGGGGGTCTGTTAATTGTTTGGAATCCTTGTTCTCACTCGATTCAGGGGGTGGTGAAGGGCTTGTTCTCAGTGTCTTTGCTGTTCCAATCCTTTGAATGTAATTTCAAATGGGTTATGACCGGGGTGTATGGGCCAACAGAGGATAGAAGTAGAGGGGACCTGTGGGCTGAGTTAGACGGGATAAGAGAGAGGTAGGATTTCCCTTGGGTAATTGGGGGGGGGTTAATACAGTCCGATTTTCCTCGGAGAAGAGGGGCGGTAATAATAGATGTAGGGGTAGACAAGGCTTCTCACAGTTTCTGAGAAGATGGGAGCTAGTGGATTTACCTTTATTGGGGGGCAAGGTATACCTGGACAAACAATCAGGAAGATCTAGTATTAGAGAAGTTGGACAGATTTATAATTTTCACTGACTGGGAGGATAGCTTCCCTAATCTATCCCAAGAAGCATTGCCCCGCCCTCTCTCAGATCACTCACCAGTTCTGTTGGACTGTAAAGGTTTAGTCACCTTAAGAAATCCACCTTTCAGGTTTGAACAGTTGTGGCTGGAAGAGGAAGGCTTCATGGATCAGATTAGAAGGTGGTGGGAGGAACACAGTAACTGGAACAGCAGGTCATGTTTTCTGTAAGAAACTTTCCTATGTAAAGTCTGAATTGAAACGACAGAAGAGGCAGGTCTTTAAAGGGGTAGAAAGGAGAAAACAGGATTTCCTAAAGGAAATAGCGGAGGTGGATCGGGTGGAGGAAGAGAGGAGTTTTTCGGAGGAGAGATAGAAGAGGGCAAGGGCAAAATTAGACTATGACAAATTATGTTTCCAAGAATAAATTAAGTGGACACAACGTTCCAGATGTTTGTGGTTAAAACAGGGGGATAAAAACACAGCTTTCTTCCATAAAATAGCAAACAACAGAAGGAGAACTAATACTATTAAGAGGCTGGAGGAAGGGGGGGGGAGGTGATCGAAGGGGAAGAAAGGATCAGACAAACAGCAACTAATTATTTAAAAAATCTCTATAAAGAAAGGTGGAGAAGAAGATTGAAGCTGGATGGGCTGCCTTTCAAGAGGCTCTCTCAGTTTGAGGCCAACCAACTGGAAGCAGATTTCTCAGAAGAGGAAGTAAGAGCCGCAATTGAGGAAATGGAAGGTGAAAAAGCACCAGAGCCAGATGGATTCACAATGGAATTTTTTAAAAGAAGTTGGAGTTTCATAAGAGAGGACTTAATGAAAGTTTTTCAGTAGTTCCATCAGAATGGTGCATTCGAAAGAAGCCTAAACTCTACTACTTTGGCTTTAATTCCCAAGAAGAAAGGTGCGGTGGGTTTGAAAGATTTCAGATCAATAAGCCTTGTTAGCAGCATCTATAAGGTGGTGGCAAAGGTGTTAGCTAAGAGAATGAGAGGGGTGATGGAAAAACTAATATCAGAATCTCAGGGAGCTTTTGTAGATGGGAGGCAAATTATTGATATGTTCTAGTGGCAAATGAACTCATTGACTCCAAAAGAAGAAGTTGGGGGGGGGTGTTGCTCAAAGTGGACTTGGAAAAGGCGTACGACCATGTAAATTGGGAGTTTTTTGGATTACATGCTTAAAAGGTTCAATTTTGGGAGGAGGTGGAGGAATTGGATAAAGGTGTGTGTAACAACAGCTAGCTTCTCTATCTTGGTAAACGGTGTTTCAGTAGGCAGGTTTCAGAGCTCGAGGGGCCTAAGGCAAGGTGACCCCCTCTCTCCCTTGCTGTTTATTTGTGTATCGGAAGCTTTAAGTATGATGGTGAATAAGACAGTGGAAGGAGGATTAATTGAGGGCTTCAAGGTGGGTCAATAAGTGGAGGTAGCACTGCTGCAGTTTGCTGATGATACTCTTATTCTTTGTCATCGCAATAGAAGATTAAGTGGAAAAAATCAGAATGATTTTAACTTTGTTTGAAGTGGTCTCTGGCCTGAAAGTCAATATGTGTAAAAGTGAGCTAATGGCAGTGGGGACTGGTCCAAATTTGGAAGTGTTGGCAGATATTGTAGGCTGCAATGTTGGAAAGTTGCCATCAAAGTATTGGGGATGCCACTTGGGGAAAAATGCATTTCAAAGAAGATTTGGGACCCAGTGATGGAAAGAATGGACAAGGAAACTTGCCTCTTGGAAATCGAGGTATCTATCAGAGGGAGGGAAACTTACATTATTAAAAAGTGTTTTGTCTTCTCTTCCTACCTACTTATTGTCTCTTTTCCATATTCCAGCTAGTGCAGCTAAGATGCTGGAGAGGACAACGAGAGATTTTCTTTGGCAGGGATGGAAGGATGAGGTGAAACTTCATTTAGTCAGCTGGAGCAAAGCTTGTAAGCCAAGAAAGGCAGGAGGTCTGGGTTTAAGGAATGGGAGAAAGTTCAACCTGGCTTGTCTAGGGAAATGGTATTAGGGGTGGAATGAACAGACCACAAGTCAATGGAGAAAAGTAATAGAGGCTAAGTATGGCTCAAGGAACACAAATTGGGACCCAGGGGAATCAAATGTCTTATGGATGTGCGGTCTGGAAGGGTATTCAGAAGTCAGAGAAGGATTTCAGACAAGGTTTAAGAATGGAAGTAGGAGACGGTTTTAGAGTCAGTTTCTGGAAGGAGGTCTGGTGTAGGGTTAGCCCTCTTAAGGACAGATTCCCAACCCTCTTCAATATTGCTAACAACGAGTGTTTGGTGTCAGAGGTGTTTTCTCAGGTTGGAGGGGCAGCTGTGTGGTATCCCAGTTTTAGAAGGAATCTGAATGATTGGGAAGTGGAGCAATGGGAGGAGCTGATGCAGATGCTGTGTGAGGTAAGGGTGGATAGTACAAGGGGGGACAGGAGGATTTGGGCAAAGGAGAAATCAGGTAGGTTCTCAGTCAAATCTGTTTACAGCAGCCTTTGCAGGGAGGAGGAAGATAATTTCCCTGAAGACCTGGTATGGAGGACAGTGGCTCCTTTAAAAGTCTCCTTTTGTCTATAGGTGACAGCTTTAGGGAAGTGCTTAACAGCTGATAATTTGTCAGAGGTTGGGTAGTAGAACCAAGCAGATGTGTTCTATGTGGCAACAATTCTGAAAAGTTGGAGCATCTCTTCCTGCACTGCAGATTCAGTTGGGTGATTCGGATGAAAATGCTAGAGCTTTTTGGAGTTCAGTCCTGCCTCCCAAGAAATGTATTGGATCTGTTACGGGGCTGGGGTCTGAAGGGTCTGTCGAGAAGAGGTAAGATTGTATGGAAGGTGTTGCCAGCGGTGGTGGTGTGGTCAATTTGGTCGGAAAGAAATATGTGACTCTTTGAAAATCAGTTGAGATCAGAGGAGGAAGTCTTAAAGAGCATCTGGGGAAGGTTATATTCCTGGGTGGCAACTCACAAACCGTTCAAGAATTGCCCTTATGATTCTTTTTTGGAATAATCTTTTTGTATGATGTTCCTTTTTGATTTTTTGAGTTGTTCATAGTGAGTGCCTTGCTCAGTGCCTCAATGGGCAAGGCTGTAGCCTGTATGTATTTCTTTCAGTCTTCTTTAATGAATAACTTTACCTTTTTTCTCAAAAAAAAAAGGACCAAGGTCAGCTAGTTATGTAGTTGATACATAGCTGGAGGTGGAGTAGGGAGGAAGGCTTTGTATAGTTTCCTGTAATTTTTGTTAAATCCATGTGTAGAGACTGGACATTTTGTCATCTTACAATATGATTGTTTTTCTTTTTCAAAGTTCTTTGGTCCTTCCCCTTGGGATGAAAGATTGTACGGAATTTCTTATTTGATCTCTTTTTTTTATTTAATAAAATTTTTTAATCATTGATCTGAAAGAAGGAAAGGCCAAAATTTTCTGTTATAGCTTCCTCCTAATCCTCTTTAAAAAAGAAAAAATAAATAAAGATATAAAAAGAAGGAAAACTATTTTTAACTTTGGAAAAGCCATAGATCTTGATAGATGGTGAATCTGCAAATGCCATTAGATGGGCTAGAGGGTTCTAGGTATACTAGGGATTATCCTTATGCCCAATGAGGTGTATTTCTTTTGACATGATTGTATTTTGAAAGCATTCTCTAGGGATCAGAATGAACTTTTGATGGGCTAACTGGGTCAGGGGTTAGTTGTGATGGTATATAGATGGTTGACATTGCCGCAGAATGTTTTATATAGCTTCGTGTTTATACATCTTTGGATGGATTCACATTCTTTTGTCTGATCATCTGATGTCCATTCTATAGACTGTTAAGATGTCAACCCAATCTGGTTAGGAAGAAGAGGGTCAGCCAACTGGCAGCTATGTCAGTTCCACTTTGTACATTTACTGCAAAGATCTTCCATTGGAAAGGGAACTTCTCAGTGAAAGAGGCATTGGAAATTGAGACAGGAAGCTACTGCTTCTAGAATGCAAATTCATCCTTATGTTTTATTGGAGTATACTGATTGAAATAACACAAAAGGGTTCATGGATGAAGTAAGTGAAGAAACCTATGATAATCTTTTGAATCTGAAAAGTGGATGCGAGCACTAGTGTGCATTCATTCAAATGTATGGAATGCACTAATGTGCAACGGCTTTGAGCATACGAAGCAAGGTGCCAACCAGCTGGTTGGTAAGGTCTCCTGATGGTTGTAGCGGAGGCTTGGGATCAAATCCCGCCTGCACCTGGGTTGGGGGATGGGTACCCCTCATTGTGTAGCCCTTCAAAAGAAATAAAAAAAAACAGCTTTGAGCATACGAACAAACTAGTGTGAAAACGGAAGTGTGCTAAAAGCATGATTTAAAATGAGTGTGCACACTAGCAACAAGCAATGGATTGAGTACTAGTGCTAATGCACAACTTGCTTCTCTAGCAACATAACCTAATGCATTACGGTGCCCTGGCAGGTGCGTTCACTTGCTCTTAATCCATTCTATAAACAGTCTTATTTTAATTGTTTTTAATGTAATTTTTTTTTTTAATTTCTCACTGCTTGAGAAGAAGTGAAAGACACAAGTGCTTTGATTAACAGTTAACAATTTTATTAAAAAAATCCCCTTGATATCTCTTGGAAACCAATGCTTGAGATCACTGTGCATGTGTAAGCTGGCACACCAACTGAAAAGTCTGGATTGATCCAATAAGAATATCATGTATACAGTATAGGATCAATGATTCAAAGGCTTTGACATATATGAAGGATTAAATTGCACCATAACCCTCTTTGTCCTTATATGTAAGAACAATGACATGTTAAACTCTTTTATCCTACATGGACCGAAAGAATAAATATCTATTTTGAAAAAGAAATTTATTTTACAGTTTTTATTTGTTTTTTCTTTGTGAAGCTATTGGTGCTCTTTTGGACCTGAGAATTATGGGGAAGGTGGGGGTATATTACCAAGCAGGAGATATCGACTCAATACCAGAAATCGTGCTGCTAGACCACAATCCATGAGGGGCTGTACTTGCCACTTTGTAGTCAAGCGCTTGTATGCTCGTCCATCTCTTGCACTCATAATATACAATGAGAGACGCCACATAAACAAGTCTGGTTTTGTTTGTCATGGTCCACTAGATAGAGATGCTATTGGTCCTGGTGCTAAGAAAATCCCATATATCTGTAATGAGATCCAACAACAAACAATGTCAATGATTTATCTTGGCCTTCCTGAGGAGAATGTATTGCAGAAGCACATTGAAGGGGTTCAACGCTACTGTGGCTCAAATGCAAAAGTTACTACCCTTGCATCCCAGTATGTTCGCAAACTTGGGATGATTATAAAAAGGTCAACATATGAATTGGATCTGGATGATCAAGCTAGTATTCGCTTATGGGTTGAACGCAATAAGAAATCTGTATTCTTCTATCAGGATTCTTCCGAAACAGATCCTTTCATTTTGGGGATTCAAACAGAATGGCAGTTGCAACAAATGATCCGTTTTGGATATCATGGTCTTATGGCATGTGATTCAACATTTGGCATAAAAAAACTCAAGGTAAGTATTACTAGTACATAGTTAATTAGTTATAACCACAACAGAAAGTTAATGGACAGGATTTTTATGATATGTGGTGTTTTTGAATGACAGTATCCACTGTGTACACTACTTGTATTTGATTCAAGACAACATGCCCTTCCAGTTGCCTGGGTCATAACACGTACTGCTGCCAAGCAGGATGTGTCCAAGTGGATGAAATCTCTTTTGGATCGAGCACGCACCATTGATTCAGCTTGGAAGATCAATGGGTTTCTGATTGATGATGCAGCTGCAGAGGTTGATCCAATCAGGCAAGATGCTTTGATAAATATGAATATTTGTTTATTCTTCTGGCAATACAAAACCATCCATGTGTTTACCATTTGGATGTTACAGGGATATATTTTGCTGTCCTGTTCTCTTTTGCCTCTGGCGTGTTCGTAGATCATGGCTGAGGAACATTATCAAGAAGTGCAATAACATTGAAGTTCAGCGAGAGATTTTTAAACGTCTGGGAAAAATAGTGTATGCCATCTGGGGTGGGATGGATTCGGCGGATGCCATGGGGGAGTTTATCCAAGATTTTGTTGATCAGACTGCCTTCATGCAGTATTTCAAGGCCTGTTGGGTGCCTAAGATTGGTAATTAATTTATAACTACTTGTGTTGTTATTGGATGTACTTTTTTTTTCTAGATTCTCTCTTCTCGTTATACTCTATAATTTTTTGGACATTTTCATTGTACTTGTGCATAAAAATAAACTTTTACTTTCTTTTCTGATAGAAATGTGGCTTGCTACCATGAAAGCTTTTCCACTTGCAAGTCAAGAGGCATCTGGAGCCATAGAAGCATATCATGTTAAGCTGAAGCTGAAATTATATGATGATTCACATCTTGGTGCACTCCAACGGGTTGATTGGTTGGTGCACAAGCTGACAACTGAATTGCATTCAAGCTATTGGCTTGATAGATATGCAGATGAAAGTGATTCCTTTCAAAATGTTAAGGAAGAATATATTGCTTCTACATCTTGGCACCGAGCACTGCAAATTCCAGACGCTGCTGTTACCTTGGATGATAAAGAGCATCTCTTTGCAAAAGTTGTAAGCCAGAAGGACAGTAGCCAGTCACATCTAATATGGAATCCTGGATCAGAGTTCTCTTTTTGTGATTGTGAATGGTCAATGCAGGGAAACCTTTGCAAACATGTTATCAAGGTCAATATGATCTGTCAAAATTGCAAGAACTATCAACCTTCCATGTCATTTCAATCGTTCAGAGAGATCTTGCTCAATTTGTGGAAAAAACCAATTGATGATTCAATTGCGCTTGATCAGTCAATTGCCCGGACAAGCCAAATGCTTGACCAAATACAAAGGCTAGTTGAATTAAGCAATTCCAAAGACATTGGTAATTTAATAAACAATCTACCACTGAAGTGGGTGTCAAAGAAAGGTAGAACTGTATCTCGCAAACCAGCATCATCTTTGGCTATTTGTGCTAGGAATAATTCCAAGAATGCTGCTACCCTTAAAAAGAACCGCAAAAGGAAGAGGCTGTCTCGGTTCAGGTGATATCTTGAATATATGGAGAAAACGGCAGTAACAGGTATTTTTCTGCCTTTTTTCAAATTTCCGTTATTTGTTTATGTCTTGTCTTTTCAAGTATTTTTTTGAAACTTTCAGCTTTCTTGCTTGGGTATATATACATTTCTCTGTCACTTGCTCAATTTCCCCCATTCTGTACCTTTTGTAATATTTCTTTTATTTACTTGATGTTTATGCATCACTTGGTGGTGTTGGGTAACTCTTGCAGATATTTTACATTTTTTATCTATCATGTCCCATTCAATTTTCAGCAATCCATAGCTTTTGTCATCCTTCTCTTTTTTTACTTGTTCTGTTGATGCAATGAAGCTTAGTGATGTTGGTGAATTTGTGCCAGATTTTTCAACAATCCGTAGCTTTTTGTCATCCTTTTCTTTGTTTATTTGCGTAATCGATATATATGTATTTATATGGTACTTTCATTTGCACAGGATCCTTTTTCCACAGTCTATGTGGACATGCCATTTCCCTGAATAACATGACTTAATCTTTGGTCATGGAACTTGGAAAGCATTAGTGATGTCCCTGATAGCATGGCCCTTTGTTTTTTACTGAGAAGAGGTGCATGTTTTAATGGTGTCCTGAGCCACATCTTTGGAAATTTGGAGGAAGAGCTCACCTACGTATCTAGATATAATAGTATTGTAGTAACTGTTTGGATGAAGAACCTTGATGATAACTTGAATGCCCCCACGAAATGTGGTTGTGGTGTGGTTGTAATGAGTGTATAGAATGGCTCTGAACTGTGTCCTCTGAAGGGATTACTTCAATTTTGATGAAAGATCCTTGGGCATTTTAAGGCCTGAATATGCTGAAGTTGCACCATTTATCAGCAAACTTCAGTTTCTTTTTCTTATTGTTCATGTTTTTTATTGTACCAGAGGCCAAATTTTGTCCCAAGCATGAACCGGAGATGTAATATGCCTATGTTTTGTTCTTATCATTTGACTAGTCTCTTTATTACATGCTGTACTTAATTTCAGAATATTAAAGTATAGTGCTTCATATCATAACTAGTTGACAAGAAATTTTGGAAACTGGACATGTTACGCATAAGCACCGTCTTTGCCTTGTATGGTTTTTGAACTGTCGGTGACTGACCTGGATGGTTGGACCTTTCGGCCTAGAATCCATTCAGGCAATTGGTTCTGTTTCACCCCTGAACTTTTCCTCTGCCAAAAACTGTTGACTTGGTCAGTGACCTGCCGATTCAGACGGTTGAACCATTGACTCATTTGACCCGGATAATGGTTTTGACTGTTTTTATATTTTAATTAATTTTTTTTATTATTCAGACCGTATGATTGAACTGCTGACCTAAAAACCAGTGGCAAAGCAGTTCCGGTTTGACCTGGTTTTTAAAACATTGTTGCTGGGATCGTTAACTGTGTTACAGCTAACATAGAGCCTAGGGACTGTTTGGGAGAACTCTGGCTGTGGGTGGGATCATTTTTTGTCATGGCATGTCATTCCATCGAGTTCTATGCTTGTCATTTTGGTCAAAAGAATGTTGAGTGCAATTATTTTTTTACCCCACACCTATGGTAATGTGTCATGCCGAGAACGTTTCTGACGGCCTAAGCTGGTGGCCAAGAAAGATATCACCTACCATTCCTATGTGCTTGATGACAAGAATGGTAAGTAAATAAAATTAAACGAACTATCCGATTGGATATTGTCCTCCATCCTTGTTAAATGTATACTGATGGTAAGTTGAAAACCAGTAGAAGTTATTTATAGTGAACCAATCACCCCTTACAATTTAAGGCCATCGAATTGGTGACTAATATTGTATCATTGGGGTGGAGTTGACATCTTCGCTTCACAAAGGCCGATGTTTCCAATACATGGCGGAAATGTACTATGAGACAGCCGGAGATATAGATGAGGGAATTCGACACAATATAATGAATACCTGTCCCCGAGGATGGGTTGAATTGGTACACTTTGATAGATTAGTTGACCTGTTACACAAATTAGGGCTGTTGGTCATTTCGATTCACGTAATTTGCCCGGCCGAACTGACATGCTCAATTTGATATATTCACCACCCGAAACCGAACCAAAAATATCTGAACTGACTTAAATTGGATTTCTGGACACTATACCTCTATGTTTGACAGCCAAGTTTGAGAGCTATAGTTGTAGGCTTTGACAGTAGAAATTCTATTTTTATATAAAAGATTTGAATTTCAAAATGAAGACAAAAAAAGGTACATAGATAGTCTCCAGCTGACTCCAATTATTTTTTATTTTTAAACGAGGTAAGTTTAAGTGATATTGGGACAAGAGTAGACTATAATAAAGGGACGTTTCTCATATTTAAAAATTTAAAATATAAAATTATATATATATATATATATATGGCTATGATTGGGTTGAGTTGATTTTGATCGGTTTACACATGATAACTGAAACTGACTTAACCTCTTCGTTTCTTTAATTCAAGAACTAAAATGGACGAAAAATATATGAAAACTAGGAAATTCAGATTGAATTAGGTTGGGTTGGTTAGTTTGGTCGGTTTGATTGAGTTTATAGAACAATCCTTTTAACCTATACCGCAATTGTTATTGCACATACAAAAGCTTAGGTTTCGAAAAGACGATTCACCATATGAATGTTTTTATTTTCCAAATGAGCATGCATCCACTGCGTTGTATGTGCTATATAGTGATTGGGTTTTGTATCCAAACTCGATTGGAAGTTTATCTCCTAGTCCAATGCAATAATTTCATTATTACAAAAAAAAAAAAAAGAAAAAGACAAAAGAGATTTGCAAGATGGTTTGGGCCCCATAACACTATAACTTAGCAAATGTTGTAGCAGGAGATATGGCTGTCAATGGATCGGTTCTACTTCATCAATAATTTTAATAATTTCAATAATTTTTTTTTGTAATTTTTATCATATTTAATATTTTAATGTCTAAAAGGGTATATAATATAAGATAATTTTGGTTAAACACACTTATTTTTTAATATAAACAATTTACTATTTTACTATCATTTTTATTTATCAAAAATGATGTTTTAACTTTTTATGTTGTTAACAGAGATAAATAGATGTGTTAATTGGGTATAGTTTGGTTAGACCTGATTATCTCAATTAATAATTGGGATGAAATAGGTTATGAGTCTATAATTTTGTCCTGATTAAGCTCCAGTTCTCGGGTCGAATGATTCGACTGTCTGGTCCGATTGGATTGACTGTTTTGACCAAAAAAAAAAAAATAAAAAGATCAAAAACTGTTGTCTGGGTCAATGATTCAATGGTTCAATTGCCCGGGTCAACAGTTTATTAATCAAATCAACAGTTTTGAGATGAAACGGAACCAATCAATTGACCAATTCCCGGTTTTTTCCAATCCGACCATCTAATCCAGTCCGATTTTGAAAACACAGGTCCCGTTGGCATCAATGCAAAGAATTTCTCTTCGCTCAAAATATTCTCTTGATTCTCTAGATGTGAATATTATTTGAAAGTGAGATTTTCAAGATCGCAATTCATTTCTGGATGGAAAATCTCATCCAGATGGTTATTTCTCAGAAGCCAAGAAAACCTAACTTCTAGAAATGACAAATGAAATGCTACATTGTACAACACCACTAAAATTAACCCCTTCTTCTCACAGCCTTCCCGGTGTTCTGTCGTTGTCGTTCACCAGAGAAGACTCCATAGTGTTTGATCGTAGAGATCGGCGGTCACTTTGATGACTGTTGTCATGAGTGGTGGTTTGTGTCTGTGTTGTTTTTTTTTTTTTTTTCTTTTTTTAAATTTAATTTTCATTTGATTTTGGTGTTCTTTTTTTTTTTTGTTTACATCAATAATCGATTACCATCGGTGGTCTATGTCCAAACTAAGGAGTGGTGTTCGGTCCATGTTCGCGAAGTATTGGTGGTTAGTGGTTTTGTTGAGTGAAAGGTGATCCGTGTGTGAACAAAAGGGAGGGGGAGAGAGAGATACTGATCAAAAGAAGCTGTGGTTCTGTCCGAGGTTGATCAGTTGATGATGACTGATTGGAGTGTTGCTGTTGTTTATTATTAATATTTTTGAATGCACTGTTTTCTTTATGGTTTGAATCTTCTAGGTTTACGGGTATCATGATGAACTGTGTTGGTGTCTTATTCATTCTTCTCTCCATTGTTGCTTTCTGAAAATCCACCGTCATTCCCCATTGTTGTCTTCTCACTGATTGAAGTGGATTCAGTCCCAAGGCTCCTCGGCCTTCAATGTGATTGGCTTGAGTTTGAGTGGCTGGCCTTGGTAGTTCCTAAGAAATACGTCGGATGGGGTGAGGAAAGAGAAAGATGACAGTGTTTTGTGTTCCTTGATTGAGTTGCAGGAAAACAATGAAGAAGAAGAAGCGTACATGGTAATCAAACTTTGAGCTTGAGAAATAGGAATCAAAATTATATGTCAAATGCATATACTGTTTCTCAGAATCTGGAAAATCTAGAATTCATTCTTTTTTGGAAAATTCAGAGAATTAGAATTTGTGAAGGGATGTTAAAGCTTTTTGAATTAAGATTATCAATCAGCACTTTGCAATTCGACTCTATGGTAACTTGCTTTATAGGGGTGCAAATCGATCAGGATCCAATCTGATCCGAGATCCAATCTTATTTGGTTGAATTCAGATTACCCATATTCGGATCTTTGAATCAGATAATAGGATCCAATCAGAAATCAGATCAGATTTGGATCACCCTCTATCCGATTCGAGAAGATTCAATCTGATATATGTTTTATATATAATACATATATATGTTATTTATTTATTTATAAATATATTATTTATATTATATTTTTGGAAATTTATTATATTATTTATTTTTTATAAAAACATGTATATATATGATGAAAATAATTAAAAACACTTATATATTTTTTTCTTTATTTAAATTGGTATATTTTAATTTTCTTTTAATAATTTATTAATTTTTAAAGAAAATAAATCGGATGGAATCAAATTTGAAGATCCGACTTCCCGATCGGATATGAATTTAGATCCTTACCTATCGGATCCGATTGGATCCACCATAAATAGTATCGGATCGGATTAAGATATACCCTTATTTGAATCCGATCCGATCCATTTGCATTCCTATATGTAGAGTGTAAAACCTTATTTTTTGTATTATTTTGTATGTATTTGAATTATATACATATGCATTTATACTCCTTCCAAACTTAGTCTTATGTTCAATTCCATGGTCCTCAGGAACATGATCTACCATTTATGGTCGCATTTGAAAGAAGACTTGTGTCAAAACCCAAAAGTTGATAGGATTAATAAACCTATAACCATTTGTTCCCTTTTACCACCCAAATCTTGGCTACATATTACAGATCCTATAGACTCAGTTTGGAAGGAATCCAAATATAAATATGTAGAGTATAAAATTATAAATATATAAGGTTTACAAATATAAAATAACACGATTTGCACAGGATATTTTTGTATTTATACTCTTTTCAAATTGGGCTTATAGCTTAATTTAGAAAGAATATAGATACAAATATGCAGAATGCAAAATCTTGTATTTTATATTATTTTGTATATATTTGTATTTGTATTCTTTTCAAACTAGACCATAGTTTAGAAAGAATACAAATACAAATATGTAATGACTCAGTTTAGAAAAAATACAAATACAAATATATAGAATACAAAACTTTATATTTTGTATTGTTTTATATGTATTTGCACTGTATATATTAGTATTTTGACTCCTCCAAACTGAGCCGGCCTATATGACAAATTCTGTCGACCAAGTTAGCGGGTATATCCCACAAAATCAATCCATTAGTTACTAACTATGACAAACAATGGATTTGTTAAAAGATCGTTCATGAAATGGAATTGATGAATGGATTTGCTTAGACATCTGGGTTAAATGATTTGTTTAGTCCCTGTTCTTTCCTTATCCATTTACCGTGAAGGAGATTTACAAGCGTGGATTTTCTAATTCTGAGACATTGTCTTCTACCAGAGTTAGTCATCTAGAAGATGCCAAAGTTATTTCAGTAATTTAATGCTAACAAATATTGGCGTGTTGAATCAGCCTGGGATTTTAAATTCAAAACCAGACGTCGAGTCGAACGTCTATTTCTGAAAAAGAAAAAGTCCCCCCACTTTCCTTCAATTACAAGTATACATACCCTAGCTTGCAAATAAAACACAAATGGTGAAATGGTTATATGCTAGCTCTACATATCAGTCCACAGGGAAAATTGGATCAATCAAATGTAGACCGTCCAAACTTCAGGGGTCCCTCTAGGTTGGCCACATGTGTGCTCATCGCCCCACATCAGCTTCTTGGTTAAGATTTTGGGTGAATTGAATATGGTTTTAGCCATTGAATGATGTTTTTTTTTCCCCACTTTCCATTGAATGATGTTTTAATTTGAATGGAAATAAGAGGAAACCAAACTTCCTTTTGCAGTAATTTGCCACATCACACCATATGAAGGCTTCTCAAACTAGAAATTGGAAACGTCAATTACTCAAGCAGATTTTTGGCTTTACTAATCTCCAATTCTCCATGGTGGGATCTGGGATGAACCCGTTTAGTATGATTTACTGGGTGTTTGGTATAGCGGCGTTGTGGTGTAGTTGCAACCGTTGCATTTTCTGGCCCTTTCAAAGTCCACGCACTCTATGCCCTTGTCAAATTAAGAAGCAAATAAAATAATCAACCCCACAACAAACCCATCTTCATTTCTATTCAGAACTCCATTAATCCTTCTTTCTGCAATTCCCAGTAACAGATCCTCTCAAGGAGAGAGAACCATCAACCATGGACAGAGAACCAGAGGAGCTCCAGTTCCTCGGGTTCTTTGGCATCTACAGAGAAGCCTACAAGATTATCTCCTCATGGTGGACGATCTTCACCAAGATCACCTTATCTCTCATCCTCCCTCTCTCCTTCATCTTCTTGGCTCACATCCAGATATCCGAATTCCTCTTCGCAAAGATCCTCCGCAACGAGGACTCCTTAGACACCACCCCAGTTGACAGCCCCAGATACAACGTCATCCTCGACCGCCTCTCCTCCGAATGGACCACCTACTGGTTATTCAAGGCCGCCTATTTCGTCTTCGTCCTCATCTTTTCCCTCCTCTCAACGTCGGCAGTCGTCTACACGGTTGCCTGCGTCTACACCGCCAAGGAAATCACCTTCAGGAAGATCATGAGCGTAGTCCCCAAGGTCTGGAAGAGGCTCATGGTCACCTTCTTGTGGAACTTCATCATTGTTTTTGCTTACAACGTGGTCGCACTACTGATCTTCATTCTGACTTCCATCGCCGTCGGACCCGGCGCTGCCAGAACGGTGGTTCTACTGGTTTTTCTGGCTGTCTACTTGGTTGGGTTGGTTTACATCACCGTCGTGTGGCACTTGGCGAGCGTGGTATCTGTGCTGGAAGACAGTTACGGAATTCAAGCCATGATCAAGAGCAAAGCCTTGATCAAGGGCAAGATGTGGGTGGCTAGTGCATTCATCCTGTTGTTTAATCTGGCATATTTGTTAATTCAGATTGTATTTGAGAAGCTGGTTGTACATGGGTGGTCAATGGGTGTGGCGAGTAGAGTTGGGTATGGAATCGTTTGTGTCATGTTGCTCTTCTTCTTGGATCTCCTGGGTCTGGTCGTCCAAACTGTGATCTACTTCGTCTGCAAGTCGTATCACCATGAGAACATAGACCAGTCCTGTTTGGCGGATCATCTTGAAGTTTACCTTGGAGAGTATGTACCTTTCAAGGGGAAGGATGTTCAGTTGGAGCAATATTACGTTTGATCTGAAATTCAGTACATGTAAATTTTACTCTGCAACATTATATATCATATCAGTGATGGATGAAGAATGTGTATTAATGTCCTTGTTGGAAAGTAACTTTGAAGTTCATGGACTTTTTTTTTCTTCTTTTAATCCTTAATTTTCTCAACTTCTGAGTGATTATTTTGGTATTTATTGTATATCAAATTGATGAATAAGTCAATATCGGATTTATTAGGCCCTGGAATGACTGCAGAAGAGGAGGACTGATACATGGATAAGAAAGGGCTGGACTTATCTCTTTTTTTTTGGCAAAAGAAAAGCAGCCGAAACTCTTCATTAAGGAACTGATAACCGTACATGTAGAGATAGTGCTGGGTTGTATGATATTTTAACTTGCCCTTTGCATGCCAAGTAAGCTAACGTATGAGCTACTTTGTTATATGTTCTACTTATATGTACACATTCAATTATCTCAAAAGTGGATAGGGGCTTTTTAAGTTGAGCTTGGTGTAGATGTTCGATCCACTTCCTTGGTTTGCTTCTATCCCGCAAAAACTCGATCAGCTGCAAGGAGTCACTGTGGAGCTTTAACTTTGAAATTCCCATTTGTTCGGCTGCTGTTAGACCAAGAATTAGGGCTCTAAATTCTGCATCATAACTGTCGATGGCCCAGCATGGTTCACCTCCAGCAAGTGCTGTGCCTCCACCGGGGCATTCGATGAAGAAAGCTCGTCCTGCAAGACCTGATTGTGAGTCAAAGGATCCATCAATGAAAACTGAGGTAGAAGGACACCTGATTGAATTTGTTGTATGTATGTGACTTTCTATTGATGTCCTTTGATCCTGATGTTGAAGATAACTGCTCACTCGATGTAATATATCACGAGGGGTGATGTTGGCATGTTTGAAAATGATGCCATTCCTAGCTCTCCATAGGATATACAGTATTATGCAACCTTTCCCGTTAAGCTGGTTTGCCTCCTGTGAAGGTAGTTGTCTCTTCACTTTTTCCCACCAGTTCTTAATGGAAATAAAAAAATCTTCCTCTTCTCTGATATCTTCTGGGTTCAGTCCAACTTGTGCTTCACATCAAACTGCCCTTGTGAAAAGGGCATGTGAAGAAAATGTGTTGATCCGTTTCTGTACATGATGCACAAAAAGGACAATTCATTTCGGTTGGGGGAAGCCATTTTTTACATTTGTGTCGGGTAAGAAGTCCATTCCATAGCATCTTCCAGACTGCTATTATACATCTGTATGGGACATTGATGCACAAAAAGGACAATTCATTTCGGTTGGGGGAAGCCATTTTTTACATTTGTGTCGGGTAAGAAGTCCATTCCATAGCATCTTCCAGACTGCTATTATACATCTGTATGGGACATTCAATTTCCATAATTTCATCCAGGGGAAATGTGTATGGGAGGGTGATGGGTATTGAGATTCATACGATTTGTATGCTGATTTCACTGTGTAAATCCCCAGGGAGTTACGTTTCCACGGTATATCATCTTGCAAGGAATTTGTGTTGGGAGTAATTTGGAGAATGTGTTGACATGTTGGTTCATCGAAGAGCTGAAACAGGGTAGCTTGATTCTAACTCCGATCTGGGTTTAGTAATGATGACACATATTGGGAGCTGCTGGTTTCTATGGTATTGTCTTTTGGCTTAGGGATGCCCCTGCCATGGTTGGAATCCAAGGATCCGAAAAGACTGAGATATTCCTCCCCGTGCATACTTGCCACATTACATTCGGCCTTAGTTCTTTGAGAGATTTATGTGCTGAGAGCCACCATGAAGATGACTTTTGAGTGATCTTTGCTTGGAAGGGACTTTGGTTTGGGAAGTATTTTTGTTTGATGACCCGACTCCATAGAGTATTAGGAGAGGAAATGAGTCTCCATACCTGTTTCCCAAAAACCGCCTTGTTCATCTCCTTGCTTTTTCGGAAGCCAAGTCCACCAGTTTGCTTGGATTGACATGCTTTTTTCCAAGAGATTGTTTGTGTTGTTTTTTTGTCTCCCACATGCCACCAGAAATCCTTCATAATTGGGATGGTTTGAAGGACTGATTGAATTAAAGTTGTACGGCCTGCTTGAGATAAAAATCTAGAGTTCCAAGCAGTGATTTTGAGCAGTAACCGGTCCACTAGGGGTTGGTGATCAGTTGCAATTCTATTATCTTGCACACCTAGTCGAGCACCTAGATATTTTGTGTCTTGTAGTTGTTTTTTCACCTTCAAGATATGAGTGAGGAACTTTGCCTTGAGACATTGTTGCTAAACATGATGGATGATTTCTCATGATTTATTTTTTGCCTAGAGAGTTGCTCAAAGGTGGTTAGAATTTGGCTCAGGACTCTAACTTGCTGCAGATCTACCTTGCAGAAAATGATGCAATCATCTGCAAATAATAAGTGGGTGATATTCCTGTAGATTCTGGCACCTTCAATGAGGCCTTCATTTTCAGCACACACTAACATTTGTGTTAGTATTTCCATGCCATTGATAAAAAGATAAGGAGAGAGAGGATCACCTTGTCTCAAGCCCCAATTCAGTTTGAAATGTCCATAGCATTTACCTCCTAATTTTACAAAGAAGGTGGGAGTGGAGATACATTGATGAATGAGATTGATCCGGTGGGCAGGAAAACCCATTTTATTCAGTGTCTCCTTGATAAAAACCCAATCCATTCTATTAAAAGCCTTAGACATGTCTAGTTTCAAGGCAATCAGACCCTTTCCCTTTTTTTGGTGCTTCATGAAGTTCAGTATCTCTTTGGCTAGTATAATGTTGTTTGTGATTTGTTTGTTCTTGAGAAATCCCACTTGGAAGGGAGAGATGATCTCTTCAAGGAGGGGCTGCATTCTGGATACTAACCATTTGGAGATAATTTTGTAGAGCACATTGCAGAGGCTGATGGGTCTGAAATGTACAGATTCCATGGGGTCAAGGGTTTTTGGAATGAACACGAGGTTTGTGTTGTTGATTTCCTTGGGGAGGTATCCAAAAGAGAAGAAATGCAATACCATGTGGTGGATGTCATGACCCACAATATCCCAGAAATGCTGGTAGAAAAAGGCTGTATAACCATCTGGACCCAGGGCATTGTGGGGATTCATTTGTTTTACCACCCAGGATATTTCCTCAAAGCTTGGAGGTTGTAAGAGAGTCTCCCTTTGCTGCTCTGTGAGGGTAGGACATGGTATCATGGAAAGTAGCCTAGTATCCAATTGTTCACTGAGAGCAACTACTTCTGACATGGAGTTGATGAAGAGCTGAATAATTTGTTCCTTATTGGATGTCCATTCACCAGTTGGTGTAGATTGCTTTGTCTGGCCTTTTGGTTTCCTGTTTTATGGAAGTATTTTGTATTTTTGTTTCTTGCTTGATTTTAGTTTCCAGATCTTCTCTTCTTTTCTCAGCCAATATAGATATTGGGCTTCTAGGTCCTGGAGCTGTTGAGGGTTATTATCATGCATTTGTAGAGAGGAGATTTGTCTTTTCAGGTTGTTGATGTGGTCTTGTATAATCCCAAATGTGTGGTGGTTCCAGTGTTTTAGATTCTTTTTGCATTCTTTAAGTTTTTGTGGTTATCTGATAATGAAGAGATCCTGTGATGTGTGCCAGCCAGACTGAATTGACAATTTGTCTGCAATCGCTATGCTCAATCCAGAAAGGTAGAAAATGGAACTGGGATTGTCTGTACATGGAAATGGGCTCTGTACACAATTTGATAGGAGCATGGTCTGATGACATTATGGGGAGGTGGTGTACCAAGGAGTCTGGGTACATGTCTAACCATGTAGACGTGGCAAAGGCTCGGTCTAGTCTTTCCAAGATTCTAGATTTGCTGTGTTGTCCATTTGGGTGAAATTTTGAAGGTGTTTGATTTCTGTAGTTTTTTTTTTTTTTATCTCGGCTTGTAAGCAAGTCATAGGTCTCCTATCAATAACCATAGAAGGGACACTTGTTGCAGTATGTTGGTTAGTTGGGCCCAAATGTATTTTCTTTGATGTTTTTGTGGATGTTCATACAGGAAGATTAGGATCCAGGGTTGGTTTATGGGGGAGGTTTTCCACTTAAAGGATGATGAAGTTTTGTTGCGAGTGCAACATTGTGGTGCGAATGTTACTGGACCAGCAGCAGAGGAGACCACCTGACTGTCCTATGGACGGCTGAATTAAGAAGGACTGGAAGTTTTGTTTTTGTGCCAAAACTGTGGCGACAGTTTTGTTTTTGTTTCACAAAGTAAACAAAAATCTGGCTTGTCTTTCTTAATCTGATTACGCAAGTGCCGGACTTTTGAGGGTTTATGTGCCCCTCTAATATTCCATGAGAAGATGATTGATGAGGGTAGATTTGGCCCTCCAGTGAAATTGCGACACGTGGCACCTCGTGACAACTAGGCAAGCACCCAGGCAACAACTTACCAAGTTGGTGTCCCCCCCGG